TCTATCAGATGAGATACTTTTATAGTTGGGTTAGGGTTATTATTAGATGGCCTAGGGTTAGGCGGATGAGTGTTCTTAAAAAAATTTTTTTTTAATTCATAATCCGCCTAAGAACCAGTGACCAATCATAGTAAATTGCGGAGATATTTTTACTATATAATTTTTGTCTTTTTGGAATCTGGAACTTCCCTAAGGATAAATCCGTTTTATACATTAAAATCGGTCCAGTGGATCGTAAGTATGGCCATTTTTGTCTTCACGACTATTTGATTACTTTTTTGTCTGTATCTGCGAAAACAAAAATATCCATATCTCACGATCCACTGGGCTAATTTTAACATCTCAACCACTATTATGCTCGTAATTTTCTTTTCTATAACTTTTGTTATAGATAGAAGGGATATTTACTTAGTATAAAATCGATTTGTCCTTATGGAAACTCCAGATTTCAAAAAAGACAAATTGTAAAATAATTATTGAGTCCTATTTCAAAAATTGGACCCTTTAAGAATAGTATGCACAGTTTCAAAATATGCTCACGGGCATTTTCAAATACAGTAGTGCGCGAGAGAGTGAAAGCCTATAACTTACCATAATAAGTCATTAAGTACAGTTACAGGTTTTCACGCACTCATTTTCTATACTGTCACTGACAGGGTTGGCATTATGATATATTCTAAAAAAATGTCAATGGATATTGTCCATTGGGTCAATGGATATAGTCCATTGGTAGTTATTAAGCCGCATTTTTGGTCCATTGGCCAAGGGACCTATATGCAATATCAGCAGGTTTTATCATAATGATAGCAATTAACCAGAAATTGGTTCCTAAGATAACGATAATGTACATAGGCGTACATATTCGAAATACCGCGCAGACGCTCATATTGATACGTGCATTATCTTGTGCTTTTAGGTATAAACAATGCTACCAGGGCAGCCCACTCAAAGTATGGTGACAGACCGTAACTAATCTTGAATCAAGATTAGTTACGGCTTGTCACCGATTGGTTATTCTATGCTGGGCTGCGCCATTGATCCGTACTTTGAGAGGGCCGCCCTGGTCGACTCTTACCTCAACGTGAGCAATTAAAACTTCTGCAGGGCTCTTATTTATGCTATTTCGCGTACTCTCATGTGAGATAAGGCAAATTTTATATGCTGGGAATTTAATTTGGTATATCAAAGCTTTCGCACACATAATTGGGTTGCTGCGGGTTTTATTTAGGATTATTAAAGCGTCTAATGTAATACCCCTCTAGAAAATTTAGCATCAATTGAGTTTAAAAGATTCTGAACTAACGCCCATGGGCATTATTTCGCCAAAAAGAAAAATAGTGAATAAAATTCTAAGAATTTAAAGGATAGTAATTGATCATTTAAAGAAAATTAATGTTTTATAAATAATAAATAAAATAACGATATGTTTAAAGCTCTATATTTGATTTTCAGTGCATTGTAAAGTGAAACTTATTTGTTTAATAAAATGTTCCACTTATAATTTATTATACCAAAAGAAGTTTAATCAAACAATTAGTAAAAGTATTTCGCAATCAACATTACTTATCAAACATAAAGAGACTCGAATATTTTTGAACGCGTTCTTATTAACTTAATAATATGCCAAAATACGAAGTTACGCTTATATCACTGAGTAAAATCATACAAGAGTTACACTTTGGACCGTATGCTAAGGATTGGTGGATTCCTCGTTTAGCTAATGATAATGTAACATACACGTATCTCTATCCAGTTCGTCTCGGTATGAAAACTATAACTACAATAAATCAGCGTAACTTTATAATTACAGTAGGTCAGGATGGTTTTGAGCCTGGATATTTATGCCAATCCGAAGCGTTGCAAAGTAATATATGTAAACATTCATCAGAAGCAGTTACCTCTGCGTATCAACAGGCCTTTTTTACAAAAACTAGATTAGACGGTCTTTTAGTTATGGGATTTGACAACCCAGAAATATGTAAAACATTACTTACTGATATTCATTTTCATCCTTATACTTTTAAAATCGGGAATGTAAGTTTGACAATATTCAGAATTGGTAAATCGAACAATCCTAATTGGAATTATGCTGGAAAAGGATACCAAAGCTCTTTTGTACATAACTTTCGCAAAACTCGGGCATTGTTTGTTCAAGAATTTAGTAATAAAGAGGCAATTATTAAAATATATCAAAATTCACAAGAAACATATGTTTTTTGTGATACTGACCCTAATGCAGTATGGAATAAAATTGGTATATTAACACAATTTACAGGAAGCATGCTATTTGGACTTGAACATGAAAAAACAAAATCAGAAATTAATAAAGAACAAACTCTCACATGTACAGTTGAAGATTGGCAAAATGAGCAGACTATGGATAAGCTATTTAATTATCATCTAAAAAAGTTTATTGCCGTGTCTATAGAATGGAAAAGCTTTTTTATTAGTTGGCGAAATCAAGAAAGTAACGTTATTGAATTAACAACACAGCTAAAAAAAATATACCCACCGAATTATACTATTAAAGATCGCGAAATGCGTGCATGGAAAGCCTTATTACGATATACGGGATGTACTAATATAATGCCTTTTGGAAAGGAATCCATGGTAACTCTTTAAAAATAATAATAAACATATGGGCTGCCATCAATATAAATAAGGCAGATTGACATTTTAAAAAAAAATTAATAACTTTCACAGCTCATATCTCTATGGATTTTGATGCTATATTAACGATTTAATAGTCAAAAGAAAGCTTGCGATCTAAGCTTTCTTTTGAATATTAAATCATCAAGATAGCCTCAAGATCCATCAAGATATGAGCTGTGAAAGTTAAGGTATTAATTTTTTTAAAAATGTCAATCTGCCTTATTTCTATTGACGGCAGCCCATATATACCTATTTCTCTTATACATATACTCTGAATTGAAACAAAACCTTGAATTATACCCAGGCACCCATATATGAATAAAACTTCGTATTCAAATAAATAGTATCTGAAGAATAATGCGAATAAGCAAATTTATTCGAATAATTTTATTATTCATCATGTGAAACTTCAGGCTGTTTCATATATAGTAACTATTTTTAGCTGCTCAATATTCAATATTCGAATAAATAGTACTATTCGGATAATATTAGTCATCTGGCGAATATTCGAATAAATATTTGCTGATCTAAATCATTCGAATATTATTCGAATAAGAAATCAGTAAGCTCTATATATGATTATTATACTCAAACACGTGAAATAGATGTCATATTCTTATTCACAATTGAACCTTCTTGGGTATACGTCAGAGATCATTATAACTTAGGTTCTTAAAAGCCGTTTTCCTGAAAGAACATAATTCTGATAAAATCGGAATTATATTCTTTCAGAAAAATGGCTTTTAAAAAATTACACCAAATCTAGAGAACATGGTATATATATATATGTATAATTTTAACTCGCAGTATTTGTAGTTTGAATTTTGGACTTGATCAAAGGACTCAGCTAAAGATCAAGCTATTTTAAAGCAGTTATATGAATGTGGATATCTTCAAACTACTCCTGGGAATTACGAAAATATCGTGGACCAATTTTGGAACGCATTCCAGGACGCTCTAGATAGTAATATTCGTGAAAATGATGGGAAAAGAAGAATATTATCTATCATTGCTGATAAACTTCCCTATAATATAATAAAAGAAAAATTATCTGTTAGTATTGGAAAAAATATAAATGTATTAAAATGATTGAACAAAAATTTAAATAACTGAATTTATCTTAGGTTTTGAATTATCTAATTACTGAAGCACGTCATTATGCACGCATTAATGGTCCAGGAGGTATCCAATTAGAAAAGCCTAAGGTTACTCGAAAAAAGTTGAGACCTGAAAAAAAAGAACAGATTGAGTTTTTTTTTCAAAATAAAGCAAACGTAGTAATGAGTTCTTATAAAACAGACAGTATCACTGGATTACCTGTGCACTATTTAAAAGATAATAAAGAGGCATTGTGGGAACGATTTAATGAAGAGTACCCGGATGGTTTAAAAGAACAAGTTTTTATAAATATTTAGAAGGTGGACAATATATATATAAGGAAGACTTAGGTGGTCTATGCTCAATCTGTAATATGTATGGATATGAAACGTTTGATGAACTTCGAAGGTTAATACAATATCATGCAGACTTGGATTATCAGATAATTTATACATTATTAAAATTACCATAAATCGCCATATAGAGTACCCCTATGATAGTATACCTCAGTTTAGGCCTGTGTATATTGCAAGGTTGAAATATTGGTGGAATGTAAGATATCCAAGTATATTAACCAGTGATTTATAAGAAAGTTATACAGAACAAGTAGAAACCCTCTAGTTATCATACCTCTTTCCTTGCAGTGTACCCTCGGGTACAGTATATGTTTTTAATCGGTGGAATGTAACATACCAGGGTACTCCACATGGCGATTTACGGTGCACCTTTCCAAATTAGAAGATTCAACATGTCAAATCTATATTATACAAATCAGTATGGTATGGGTGATCTGTATGGTACAGGCCAAACTTTTAATACCATACCAGACTGATCCGGTATTATATTATTGGCGTTAGGGTTAGGAATTGTAAGCTGATCAATATGGTATAACTTTTAAAGTCGGGCCCATACCAAACAAATCTGCTTAGAGATGTGAGCGCAATGCCGTAATTGTTTTTTTTTTTTTTTTTTTTTGTTTTGTTTACAAAAATTCAAATATATCGTCCAAATTGGATAATTTTGATACCATTCAATTCGTCTCGATGAGACGAATTGAATGGTACCCCAATTCAGATTACTGGATCACAAGATTTTCGCTAAAAATGATTTAATGAATTGCGGCAAATTACGGCAAACAATGAAGTAATTTATTGGATCGTATTTTGTAAATATCATGTGATTCAGTGATCCGAATTGGACTATTTTTGTACCATTTAATTCATCTCATCGAGACAAATCGAATGATATCAAAATCATCCAATTTGGACTACTGGATCATGATATAATTGAGTTTTTGTAAAAACAAATACGACATTGCACTCACACCACTAGATCTGCTATAATTCCTGTCGAGTGATTTTGCAGACATGCATGTCCGCAAAATCACGTGAAAGCCTCAGACAGCATTCGAAATATATTATTTAGTATGCCAAATCTTTTGAAATTCATATACACTAACTGATAAATTAAACAATAATAAGGAGCAATTGATAACTGAATGTAGTGACCTGCAAAGATATTTAAAAAAAGATTATGAAAATGAGTTAATAGTTGATTTTTTTGGTTATACAAAACATAATACTTGTATTAATCATTGTATGCTTTATGCTTTTGGAACTTGCTTAAAATCTCATGATCTAATCTGTAATCGTTGTGGAGCTTTTTTTAATCTATTTAGGCAAATTCAAGAACATTTACCATCTGACCTTCATACGGAATTAAAAGAGTTACAAGAATACTTACTATATTATTTAGCACATCAAACTAGGAAAGTGTATTTAAACGCACAATTATATGCCCAATTAGGTGAGTTTGATGAAAAAGGTGCCGTAATTATCGTAGACTACAAAATGAAAATTTTACCTAAAAGCGCGCGTGAAACAAAACAAGATTTTTTTGGAAAAAAAGGGTGGTCACTGCATTCAGTATTGGTATATACTCGCCTGCCTAATCATAATAATTTGCAAGTTCGTGCTTTTGATAATTGGTCAACAGATTCGCGCCAAGATGCATGGTTTACAGCTTCTTCGCTGCATGCCGCAATAACTAATCTTGATCCTCGACCAGAATGGATTACTTTTTTATCAGATAATGGACCCCACTATCATAACGCAGATCTAATAATAATTATGGGTCGATGGAAGGAATGGTACAATATTCACGTTAGAAAATGGACTTTTCTTGAAGCAGGAGAGGCTAAAACAACAATTGATTCTCACCATGCACAGGTTTGATTTTCCGAGTTTTTTTCTTTTTTTTGATGCATTTAATATCGCAGATCATAATAAAATCGGATTAAATGAAATTTTGGTTTCTATTTACCCTCTTATATAAATTTTACCCCTAAAGCTATCCCCTAACTCTAAAAAAAAAACCAAAAAAATATATTCAAAAAATTTTATATTTTTTGGTGGCAGTCTGTTTTATATTATATAAAATTTCATTTTAATCCTGATTTCATTTTAATCTGCCACATTTAATACATTTGTTTTACCATTCAGATATTTCTAGATTTCACATGCAATAAGCCGTCGTGTTCGCTTAGGATTTGATATTACGAAGGGATCAGACATTGAATTAGCAATTGAAGGAATCCGTGGAACATCAGTAGCTCATTTGGAGCCAGAACGTACTAAAGGTAATAAATTATAAGTATATAAAATATCAAATTATTTGATATATTAACCTTTTTATTAATTTTAGATAAAAAACGGATCAACACTTTACCCGGTAATTCAAACTGGTTCTCGTGGGAGTGGCCGTGTGATGGTGAATATGCAGGATATATTCGAGCACGCGCAATGCCTAATATTGGTGAATGGAACAATTTTTCACCTGCAAAGTTAGAGCAACTAAAAAAAAAAAAAATACAAAAACTGAATCCACAAGTTTCTCAGCATTCCATTCCCAAGTCCCCGTGGCTTGTTCTACTGCAACATAGATCAGGTAACGTACTACTCTTTATTACTACTATTCGAAGTTATAATGCTGTCTGATCTGTATTTTAGGATCTTTTTCCAAACGTTCGACGGTCGATCAACTAAGAATACTAAGCAATGAAGATAGGTAATATTAAAATTTTGTTTAGTGCCGTAATCCTTATATATATAGCTAATGGTTGTAATACAAAAGCCTGCATGAAGAATTTCCACTTATATTGGGTTGGGCGTTAAAGGAAAATCAAAAATTCGGAAAAAAAGGGGCGGGTAAAAGAATTAGTAAACGTGTAATAGCCTACTTGGAAGGATATTTTTTAGTTGGTAACGCTAATAAAAGCGAAAGGTATAGTGCAGAAGAAATGTGGAAGGAATTAATGGAATTAGTAAAAATAGGTAGTTTGGAGGAAAGCGATGTTCCGAAGGTGTCGACGATTCAAAGATAGATTGCAAGATATGCAGTGCTACATAAGCAGAAAATGGCACAAATGACACAAATGATTTTTGAGCAATAATAACCAATAGAATTTGATGTACATACATACCAAATTGTAAAATGCTATAGAATTTAAAGGGCGGAATCTGACGTTTCCCCAATATAAATTTTTTAAAAATTGAATCGTTCTAAAAAAAAAATACCAAGAATTGTTCTTTATGATTTGTGCGATCATTTGTACTACTTTTCAACTTAACAACAAATTTAATTTAACATAGTTATATTTAGGGCAAAGATTCGCTTCTTTTACTCTTTTTATAAATGATCTGCAAATCTTTCTCCGAGATTTGCTAATCAATTTCACTGGTTCTTATACGGATTACGAATTAA